GGGGGGGGTGGGGGCGTACCATTCTGCAAACAGCTCGGGGCAGTTCAGGGTCTTGCTGACGATGCGCGCCCCCTGGGACGGCGGGTTGGACCAGGTGGTCCTCACAATCTTCTCCATCTGGGACAGGATGCGGGACAGGTTCTCGTTGTCCTTGGCAACCACCGTCAGGTTTCCAACTCTCTCATCTGACCACAGCCAAAGGAGAGGCACACTTTGAGCTCCACGAGTTTTTTCCCCCCCCTCCCCCGGACGCACACAAGGCTGCGCGGAATATCACTCACTGTAAAGGCCGAAGTTTTTGGAGAAGGACTGAGCTATGAAGACCTCGAAGCCCTCGGAGACGAAGTAGCGGATGGCCCAGGCGTCTTTTTCCAGGCTGCCGGAGGCGAAGCCCTGGTAGGCCGAGTCGAAGAACACAAACAGATTCCTCCTCTGGAGGGCAGCGAGGGGAATAAGAGAGGAGCAAAGACAAGTTAGACCGAGAGAAAAGTGTTGAGGTGTTGGGTCTGAGAGCCAGGGTGAGAATCGAGGGTACACAGATGTCTGTCTTCTCTGGAATGGTGCTAATCTGACATTGAGCTGAAAATAACACTGAAAGGTAAAATAACGGAAGGCCTGCTCCCTTCCTCTGCTCTCAGAGTTTGTTTACGTGTTTTGGCTGAGAAGATGTTTAGTGCAACTTGCTCCTATGTCAGCTGACCGCCCACAATTCAGGCTTTTTATGGCACACGACCAAAGGACATGATTGGTTCATTTACAATTCATGGACAAAATGAGCCCAGAATGAGGTCTAATTTTCTAATTCCTTCCACCTTTGGGCATGAAATGAGCACATGAGTCTGTTGAGGACCTTCATGATCTCCGCGATGGCCTTCCAGTCCTCCTGGGTGGGGTCTGTGCCGGTGGGGTTGTGTGCGCAGGCGTGGAGCACAAAGATGGAGTGTTCCGGCGCTTTCTGGGGACAGAGAGGAGTTTCAAACGGCGTTATTTCCCTCTAATCTCGGCCCCCCCGCTGAAGCGGATCCGATGTGAAACTGCTCATTACTGCGGACGGGAATCCGCGGCGGTCACCTCCAGGTCGTCCAGGAAGCCGGCGCGGTCCAGTCCCCGGTTGGCCGCGTCCCAGTAGTGGTACGGCCGGATGTCCTTAAACCCAGCGTCGGCAAACACGCTGTTGTGGTTCTCTGGAGAGACAAGCAGCGGGCGGTTACTTAAAGGTCTGGGCCCTCTGCCCCCCCCCCCCCCCCCCCCCCCGGCCGAGCACTCACCCCATGTGGGGGCGGAGACGTAAACGGGCGTGGCCGTGTTGTTGACGCCGTTGTACCAGCGCCGCAGGAACTCCGCCCCGATCCTCAGCGCCCCGGTCCCACCCAGAGCCTGGACCCCCCCCACCTGGGAGGGCACAGAGAGGAGGAGGAAAAAGCTGAAACCAAGCTTAGTAAACAAACTGGGAGGAGAGATGATGTCGGCCATAAAGGGGACGCTTGTTTGCTAAATAAATTTGAGCCGCTCTGAAATTAATTACCTGAGCCAACAGGGCCGAGAGGGACATCAAACAAAAGGGAAGGACCAGAACAAGACCAGAACATTTAAAGAATCATCATTTATTACAAAGTTTAGCTCATTTGCTGAGTGCCAAGCTGAGCATTGTAGTTTTACAGAAGATTTTATGTTATTATTTATATTTTGCCCCTTTTGAAGAGGGTCCCATCATTTCCTGAGGGCTTTAGGTCAGAAAACCTGTTCTGAGACCTCATTGTAAACTCTGAGGCAACACGAGGAGCGTTCACCTCGTGGTGTTTTCAGGCCAAAGGGCCACAAAACAAAAAAGGAGCACAGACAAGGGGGACTTGATATTTCCATCTGCAAACTCATCAGAGCGCCCCCATCGTTTCCTCCCGGTGTTTACATAAAAAACACCTCCCGCGGCCCGCGGCCTCACCCTGTTCTCCTTGATGGCGGCGCTGTCGTCTCCCAGGGCAACCTTGGAGGCGGCGGAGCGGAACTCGGGCAGGCCCAGGATGGGCAGGTACTCGTGGTTGAGGCTGCTGTCCTCCACGATCAGCCGCTCCACCTTCTTGACCACCGGCAGCACCCACGGCAGGCAGTCATCGGTGCGGTAAGCTGGGGGTCACAACACGACACCGGAGCCATTAACCATCACGCATCAAAGAAATGGAGGCCATTTTGATTTATTTTTGTAAAACTAAAGGGAAGCTTGGATGGAAAAAGGGCACAGCCCCATCCTTAAGCATGTGGCGTCCCCCTGATCCGGAAAATTCTGCCCAGACATGGGCCCTCAGTGGGAGAAAGGGGCAGAGGAAACTCACATTTACCGTCACATAATGCCTCACGGCCCCCCCCTCAATGAGCGCCACACATATCTGACTCCTCAAGAACTCAAGCTGCCCTAGAACATAGAACTGTATCAAATATCAGGATCACACGTGCTGCTTTTTAAGGCACTGTGAGGGTTTCACAGAGTGGATCTAGTCCACATTGATGCTTAAAACTCAGAGGGCCTGGCCTGCTCTGTTACCATGACAACTCAGCTTGTGTGCCCAAACCTGACACTGGAGTAAACA